TGCATGATGGGCAATTAATGTGAGTGGTGTATTTTACAGTCGTTTTGAGTATTTGACATCTATCCCGTCCAAACACAAACACTGTCGTCTCACCATCACCACACGTAAAGTGAAACTACATCTATAATATTCAAGTACAAATGTAGTTGACACAACACAAAATTCAAGTGCAGATATACCTGTATGTAGTTATGGATCCAGAAATTTCTAATTACAAATGGTGTATAACAAAATATCATAGTACTTAAACCGTTCAAAAAATTAGTATATAAAAACACAAAATACATATTTATTCTTAAATTTAACTTATATATCAACCGGTTTTGTTTAAGTAATGGTTAAAACAGTATCTGATGAACATTAAAAAAGGGTGTACGCTCGTATCTTGCAAGTTATATATAGATATTAACAAAATATAATAGTTAATCTCTATTTCCTTTTGATTTTGTGGAGAGGAGATAGAGTTCCAGTAACAAGAAATTTCGTCTGATCTTGTTGTTGTTCAGTTTTGCAATAGATTGTAGTAACATTTTAATTTAATATTATTTCTTTGTTTTTCTTTTCAATTAGAAGAAATGATTTGTTAATGTACTTAAAAGTTTTTGATATCTATAAAGAGTCAATTTGCTTACTACCAATAGTAGAATGTTTAAAATGATTAGTAGTATAATCGAAACAAATGGAATATCATTTTCATGTATGTGTTTGAATTGAATCGTGAAGAATAATAATAATAATAAAAGAGGGAGATTTTAATTGTAGAGATGGGTGGTTGCATCTTTTCTTTATAGTATAAAGAGGCTCCGGCCAAAAGCAACGCACGTGGGCCCCGTCGGGGTGTGTCTGTCCAAAAGTCTCACTCTCACGAGAAAAGTGACGCTTTGATGATGCTAAACCCTAACTTCCCAATATTATTACTCCCTCTGTTCAGAATTATTTGATGTTTAAGGTTTTTGCACACAGTTTAAGGATTCATTTAATTTTTATTTTTCCTATACTAAAAATATTATTTATAATTCATTTAAATATCATTCAGCCAATAAAAAAACAATCTGCAGAATATAAAAGGTCAAAAACTATAAAAATTCATTAAATTTTGCATTGAAAAGTGAGAACATCAAATAATTCTGAACAAAAAAACCTTCTAAAACATCAAATAATTCTGAAAAGAGAGAGTATTATTATATTTTTTTCACTTCCTGTTTTTTCCCAATAATCATTCACGATTGTTTTTTTTTTTCGTTGGCTAAAAATCATTCACGATTGTTACTCGATTCTATACAAGTACGCGCGTCACACCCACGCGAATCCGAGTACATATATAGATTCGTTTTTCCAGATACTGATCCTCTCTAACTCATGTTTTAAAATTTCCATTTACGCAACTAAATAATTTTATCCAACAAAATTGTTCAAAAGGATATCCAAAAGAAAAATATAAGAAAATTGTTTTTTGGTCAAGAAAATGCTCCTTTATCTACAGGCATTTTATTTATTAATTAAGTATAATAAATGTATATGGAGGTGAGGGATTGGTCACTTTCCACTCATGTATGTGTCCCCTTCTCTTACACGTTCACATAAAAAATTAATTAGCTTTGCTATTTTTCCATATTCTTCGTTTTCCATTTTATCACATCCCGCCTATTTGACTTGACGAGTACATATATGATATATCTATCGATTTGCTTTATGCCCTTTTGTTATGGGAAGTAGCAATATCACTTGCTCTAAAATAATTCCAGACAAAAAAAGCGTATAAGAAAATTCCAAGCTATATTAATTAGGTTATTACACCGAATATTATAAGGTGGACTCATATACACGTATCCACTAAAAGTGTAAAACTGTTACTATAATTTTAGTCAACAAAATTCTTAGAAAGGCAATTGACTAATAAAATTCTAGTATCGTTTTGTTTTCATCATTTCTCTCTTGTCGTTCGTAACTTTTGCGATGAAATGGCACAAAAACTTAATTACTACTTGTCTATTATATATTTCTCGGACCAAATAAAATAATTCTGTCAAAATATAGTCATCGACCTTGCTTACGATTATTACGTTACATTATATTTACATTGTAAGTGCAATATTATCAACTGACGAAAAAAAAAAAAAAGCAATATCAACTACTATTTCTTAACATTTGAGGATATTATAAACCCAAAATCTGGAAATTCAAATGTTTATAACAATTTAGATATACAAAACTGTTGATAAAAGAATAAAATTATAAAAGAACCCCAATAGTTAATTCCGACACTATGAAACTATGTCGTGACTCGTATCATTCCTTTTAAAGATATTTGTATCCATATTAATATAACAAGGTTTTTTTGTTAAAAATATCACATGTTTTTGAAATGTGTACGTTGTGGCCGAATTCATCTAAGTCATTTCTTTGAAACACCTGACAGATGGAAGTTACTTTTCCTAAAAGAAATAAATCAATACTCGTAGTGCTCATGTATAAAGCGCCTTTGATTGGAGTTTTGAATTTTGTGCTGCTAAAAGATGATAAATTAAAGAGATGATACTCATAGTAAAATACCTCAAATCAGAGAGTAGTTTGTTGACGAGAATAACGAGGCTTTCCATAATAAATAATGATTAATACAGCACGACCTGTGTGCGTCTCTGTTTCCAAAGGATCAATATATTAATGAGACAAGTATTGCAAAGTTGTTAAAAATGAAATAATAATAATAAAATAAAATCTTGAGACAGAACCAAAAAAAAAAAAAAATTTACTAAGAGCGACTTCAGATCCGAGCTATAAATTCGCCGTTATATAAACGAGACTTAATCGCAACCCCCATTTGACCTTGACAAGAGAAATAAAACAAACGACGAAAATAATGCTTAAGACAAATTGGAACAAAAATACATTATAATTTGAAGCAACTGTAAAGTGATTGGGTCAACGGTCTTTAACTGGTACCATCGCCCGATTTATAGTCTTGGGAGGAAATACACTTAGGACTTGAATCGGGTGATGGGAAACTTACATACTTTAGTATTTATTTTCTTTTCTTTTTTTGTTTCTGAAGAAAATTTACAGATTATAGTCTCGGTCGTAAAACTACTATATAAAGTCTAAAACTGATTGACCACAAAAAAATAAGTTTGAAACTTTTGAATTAACTTGTTTTGCTTTGCATTCGTATTTTTTTAGGAATAACTCTCTCGTATTAACTCGAAACAACTTTTTTTTTTAAGTTCCGATCTGATTTAGTGTTTATGAAGGTCCACCAAAAAGGTCATAAAGACCAAAGTTTAACCAAGAACAGAGCGTCAAAAAATAAAACCAGAGTATGGAAGTTAAACAACAATGTAAGATGGGAGGGAGCCTCTATAGAGACAACTGTTATGCAACTAAAACCACCATCTAAAGAGACAATTTAGGCAAATATCAGTTGCAATGACGTTTTCTTGCTCAAAATATACAATCTCAAACGAGTCTAGATTGAAGAAAAAGATTATTAGATAATGAATTCTCTCTAAGAATGTAGTACTATACTTTAGCCATTCAAAGAAGATTGTTAATTTATGGCATAAAAAAAGGCTTTGGAACCAAAGGTCACTTCTACTTGCATAATGTGTAGATACTTGCATCAAACTTTAGACTGCCCACAGTATCGTGACATTTTGGTTTTTTTATATATTCATAATACATTTCAGCAAGCCTTCTGGTGGTTTGTTCCATCTAGTAGTCGCCATGGGTCGAGGTGGTCACCACATGGAAGAGGAATGTGAATGTACCTCCTAATGTTGACGAGAGACAGAGTCCTCAACTGCCTTTCGAACCATAACATCGAAATCTTCTTGTTACCCTGAAAAGATCAAAGTCTCCCTTATTATTCCAAATATTCCAAAAAATAAAGGGAATAAGTACCAACCGCATCCTCTTCCCCTTACGATATATAGGAGACTAAAGTCATATTTTTAATAGATACACACGAGAGAAACCACGTTGCGGCAATGGAATCTGAGCAAGGACCAGGTTTCGACGAGCAGCTGTGTGCATCCAAAACAGGACAGGAAGATCGATTCAGACTCATCATTACATATTTGACATGTCGAATTCAGCCTGCTCAAGTGCTCATGCTCATGCGCTAGACAACACTCGGCGAAAAAAAAAATCAAATCAAATTCAAGCTGCTAAGGTCAAAAGGGTGCAATCTTCTTTCCTATTATGGTCCAAGTACATGTAGACTTCCTCGTTTGGGTTAGTATGATGGATAGGTTCTTCAAATCAAAGTTTGGAAATAACATAATCAGGAATCCCCTAACTTTCCAGGTTTCTTGCGGCAATTCCCTTTTCATATTTTATATATTACGTAAGTGTGTACCTAATTCTACTCCCTCACTTGATTTTTATTTTTGCAAACAATTTTTGTAAAACCAAAACAGCAAAGTAAATGCCAAAACACTTAATATAATGTACATACATACATACATGTTACTAACTTTAAGTTAAAAAAAAAAGACAATAGTAATATGGCACAAGAGATACAATACAAGAGTGACCCATAAAAATAAAGTAAAGATCCCACTGGGTTTGCTCCTTTCCCCACACCGTGATTGATGGTCACTCTCCATTGTCCACACTCTCACACAATTTTTCCATATTCTACAGTTTAAACCACTCCCATCTTTTTATTTTATTTGTTTATTACTCACAAAAAGCTTTTGTTGGCAGCAATTTATTATTATTTTATTTTCCAATAAATTCACACAAAATGTAATCGGCATCTACCTCGAATAAAAATCTCATCTAAAAATTACCCGCGAAATATTAAAATTAATATTTCTGTGTTGTGTGTATATTTTGAATTTGTGTTTCACTTTTGACCCAATTATTTCTCTCTTTGATCAAATCTAGTCCTTCTTTACGCCTCAACTAACTTAACGACGAAGCCCGCTACTTTAAAAAAAAAGCCCCACTCACTTTCCTTTATATATACTCCACGCGCACAACAAACAACACAGAGTCACCAGACAGAGAAGAAGAAGACACAACAATTAAGCAAGCCCTTGTGTTTGTTGACAAAAAAAAATGGATTGGTTTTCATGGCTCTCGAGAACAAACCTTGAACCATGTCTGATCCAAGAATACGGCATTTCCTTCTCCCAGAACGAGCTCGAACAAGAAGACACTGCTTACTTCAACCACGAGTTCCTCCAGAGCATGGGAATCTCCATCGCCAAACACCGCCTCGAGATCCTCAAACTCGCTCGTCGAGACCGCAAGAAATCTCCTCCTCTCACCTCTCGATCCATCTCCAGAGTCGTCGTCGCCATCAGGAAAACCGGCAAGTGTTTCTCCGATCACCTACGCGCCTGGATCCGCCGCGAAGAGTCCTCGTCGTCTTCGTCTAGAGCTCTGGTGCTGGTGCCGAAGAAGAAGAAGAGCGGCGGGAATGGCAAGTGGAAAGGCGGATTCTTGAAGAGGAACAAGAGATCTGTGATGCCAAGCAGCAACGGCAATGGCGACAACAAGCAAGAGAGGTTGCTGTTGACCAACGGGACTCCGACTTGTAGAGTCGATAGCTTCTCGATGAGTCCTATGGTTTTCGATTACAGTTTCAAAGAGGAGAAACTTTCTTCCCAGGATTTCCACGATTCTTTTCTTGAAGATATCAAATGGGATTCAATGTTCCAGAATCTGAAACCTACTTGAACATCTCGGAACTTCTGTTCTTTTTCAGGTTTTTCTTTTTTTCTTCGAATCAGATTGATGGTGAGAGATGAGATTTTAGGGTTCTTCCACCATGGATTTTGAAATTTTGCATCTGTGTGTTGGAGTGTGTGATTACTGATTATGTTTGTGTGTTGTTAGGCTGATTATTTTGGTTAATTAGCAATTTAAAATTTTTAAATTCGGTTTGAGTGCAAGTGACAGATGTGTGTGTGTGTTTGGGTGCATTGTAATGAGTATGTCTCTCCATTCTTTGCTGTTTGCCTAAGTCTCTGTTCCAGTCAAAACTTCTTTTCAGCTTTTTACTCTACAAATCAAAACTTTAGTTACTCTTTTTGCTTCTCTGGCGTAGTAGAGTCTCAAAAGAAGTTTCACGCGACTAACAATAAGTACCACAGAATTCACAAAAAGGCATAAGTATTGTCGTTTCCCAATACAAATATATTAACGAAATTGACAAAACACATACACCAAAGTTAACAATATATATATTTTTTTCCCACTAATACAGCATAAGCTTTGGCTAACAGTTAAAGCCCAATCACATAAATAGGCAAGAAACAAAAAAACTATACTATACAACAAAAATGTGAAAACGAAAAAAGAAAAAGAAAAAAAAAAACCAAAAGCCTTTTTGTCCTTTTCTATAGTGTCGACAAGCCATATCTTTGGACGAGAGATCCGTAGATTCAGGAAGCGGCTACAAATTTCTCCCAAGTACCGTATTTTGAGCTGAAAGTTCCACCGCCAAATTGCTGTGCGTACTCACAGATCACTCCCCGAGCACAAGCGTCCCATGTCTTGGCTATGTCTTTGAGCGACATTGGCTGTGACAAGCTTCTTAGCAATATGTTGAACCTTGCCATAGCTTTCGACGACAGATCCTCGTTCTCTTTGCTGTTCAAAAAACCAGACTGTGTTAAGCTAGTTTCTAGAGAACATGAGCAGCTGATTTTTATCTGTATGGTAGAACTTTGCTCGGCTAGGTATGAAACATCAATTTTTCTATTTACTTGAGACTGATCGGATCTTGCTTGTACCTGGTTTCGACCGGGAGTTTATCCAGAAGAGATGGAGACCCGTTGGGGTAGCTACAAGGAACCAGCAGATGCAATGGTTGAATAGGAGACTGTAAAAGAAGCACAAAACATATTTTAAGACGGACTAATGAAATTATTTTTTTTCCCACAAAATGTTAACGAGATACCAGGCTTACCATTTGTGTTGATGACAGATGAGCCTTCAAGGCTGGGCTGAGAGAAACAGCTATAAACGAGAATCTAACTGTTGTTCCTTCACACCCTTTGCTTGCTGTTGCTTCCTCACTAGGATCAGCAGCATCTTCATCATCACTAATCTCAACAACTGTATCTATCAGCCGCTGGTTTATTTCCTTGATTTCCTCCAAAAGGGCATGCTCGGTCTGCAGTACAAGATTGAGTCTTTAAAATTAGATATTTGAAACCTCGTGTTCCCAAATCTTCTTTGTTGTGTGTGTGTATGTGTCACTTTTCAGATATACTTAAGGGGGGTCTAACCAAAAACCATTACCTCAGTTCTTGCCTTCTTGCCATCAGAAGTTGCAGTAGATTCCAGATCTGATGTTTCCGAACATGCAAACTGCTTGTAGTTATCACCAACGCTTCCTCCTAATGAAGCAATGCTTAATGGCATTGCGGTTGTGTGACGCTTCATTTTCTTGGTCGCCATCATTCCCTCTTGCGTCATGAAGTTTCTTGCTTGGAGACGGCACTTAGTCATTGCAACCAAGTCCTCGCCAACTGAAGCTCTTGAACCGTTTCCTGGGGCTGAACCAGCTATCCTATCAACCATGCTTACAACAGATTCGATGTCACTTACTGCAGATGAAAGCGCTTGTGGTGAGATGGACTTCACCTGAAAATAACAGAAACAACACATCATGATCAGAACAATGTTTCTGCTACAAAAGAGGGATGGCCGCAATAACGCCGTCCTGTTGCAGTATACCCTTCAATATTAGTAATGTTACTTACGGCTCTTATAAGGCGCTCAATAGGCAGCTCGGTAGCACTTGGTTTTCCAGATGTACTTATCAAGGGATTTAAATTATTTCCATCAGGACTAGTAAACTCCTGAAGGAGAGGAGAGGCAGAGATCCCTGGAGTGCCAATTGCAAGGGATTGAACTACACCTTGCATGCCAGTTGCTTGTTGGCGTCCAGTATTTCCCATTGACAACGAAGACGCTCCAGAAGGTTTCTCACAGTCAACTTGCATAGGGGACGGTGCCATGGGGGTTGAAGGAGATGGGACAACAAAAGGGGAGTTTGCAGGTTGCAATGGAGTTCCCAACTTGTTGACAGATGACGACAGATTTTTCTGGTCGACCTGAGGAGACATATGTTGTTGTGTCATCTGAGGAGATGCACCTTGCAGAAGTTGAGGTGATGTAACAGGAAGCTGGGATCCTGGTTTTAATTGTTGAAGGGGATAGGTAGCACGCTGACCCTGCAGAGAATGTTGCTGAAACATCCCACGACTAACATTCATCCCCTGCCTCGCTGTCATATCATTCATATCATTTTGTGCCGCTTGCTGTCTTGCTTGCAACTGTTGCTGCTGCTGAATTAACTGCTGCTTCTGTATTAGCTGCTGCTGCATCTGGCGCTGTTGAAATTGCTGCTTGAGCATTTGTTGGTCTTGCTGTTGCTTCAGGTGTTGTTGCTGAAGCATACTGGAACTTATCTGGGTTTGATTAACATTAGACTGCAGTGTACTTAACCCACTTTGGGCAGAGGCAGAATTGTTATTAACTTGTTGAGAAGCATTCTGTTGCATGGATCCCATGGAAATCTGCTGGCCATTATTCAGGGCATTTCCTTGACCTGTTTCTAAACTAGAAGCCGGTATGGAACTGGGAATGTTCTGCTGTGGAGCTGAAACCCCAGGACGAGATGATAGAACATTGTTCTGAAGATTTGTCAGACTACTCTGTTGTGCCCTTTGCCCAGAACCCGGCAAGCTCATTGATTGCATCTGCGGGTTTGTTTGACTATCATGAGACTGATCTTGAACGTTCTGAGATTGCTGTTGCTGCATAGGCTGCATCTGAGATTGCGGAAGCTGCCCTTGCTGTGCTGTTTTCTTCGGCCTGTGCGCATTTAAGAAACTTATAATCTGCTTCTCATAATAAGCCACCTTATCCTTTAATGCAGGCATGATATTGCTCTTTGACACCGATAGGAATTGTATCATTCGCTCCAACATTGTCTTGAATTGTTTCAATTTCTCAAACTGATCTGATCTTTGTTGCTGCGGGAGAGAATCCTGCTCGAGAGTAAAAAGGAACGTGTTCATAAGAAAAGAAATAAGCACATAGATGCAAGCTACAACCTCTGAGGGTTTGGGAAGGAATCATAGATATCCGAGGTTTCCTTTCTAGTGGAAAGTCTCTAAGAATACGAGTTTCAAGAGCATATTTTTTTGTATGACTTTCTTTTGCAATATCGAACCAATCTTGAAGTGAGTTCATAAAAATTCTCATAAGGTACTTACTACTGCTCTGGAGACATACACATGCAAACTATTCTCCTACTTAAAAAAAAAAAGTTCTTAACTTACTTGCTGCAACTTGACTGCAACTCTCTGGTAGATTTCATTAAGATCTGGTAAGTACGCCTCTTTCATGGTTTTAATCTGCAAAGAAGAGCACCATGTTCATACGATTACTCATTGAGGTGATATCTATGAAAGATCGTCCGCCTTGTTTCATCAATCTCTTGAAGATTTAACAAGGGTAGCCAGAATTGGTAAATATATAGCAAATTTATTTTATTTCCCCAAGAACTCCTGGGTGCTGACACCAAGGCTAAGAAGGCGGAAGCATTACCCCACTTAAAAATAGAGGACTACCTTTTGGAAAACCTCTTCTTGCCAATCAACTCCATTTGCACTTTCTGTCTGTGCCGTCGAATCAAGCGATGCTAAAAATTATAAAAACGGGGTTTGTTCAACATCAGATCCTGCTGACAGATTATGAAAATATCAGACCCTAAAGTATTCACAAGGATGCAAAACCATACATGATGGCATCTCCGGAAGAGGTCTTTGGGATTGATATAGTTGCCTCTGTTGGTCCACTACATTTTGAGGTGGAAGCAAGGAACCTGTGACTTGGCCTGAAGATTGTAACCTTTGTTGCACATCTTGTTGTAGCAGATTAGGTTGTTGTTGCAAACCTATCTGCTGATGATGCGATTGAAGGGGCATCATCTGCTGTTGGGATGGCTGATTTTGTGACTGTTGGCCCTGAGAAGAAAACATGCCATGCCCAGCCTGCTGTGTTCGTTGCAGCCCAACCGTTGGCTGTGATAACATGTGCATCGAGTGCTGGTTAGTCTGCAAGCTCGAATTGCCAACCTGGGAACTGAGCAACTGTTGTTGTGGTTGCTGCAATCCTGCAACATTGTTTTGAGTGCCTAGTGGTTGTTGATGCGTAGCCTGAAGGCTGTTTTGTTGAGACATCATTTGCTGCTGGGCTGTTGGCTGCTGCTTCTGCTGCTGCGACTGCTGCTGTTGAATGTTTATAATATTATTTTGCTGGTTCAGTAACCTTTGCTGATGTTGCTGCTGCATATCCCCGACAACATGCTGAGCCATCATCTGCTTCTGTTGAATGCCTGAGCTATTTGCAGCTTGTTGCCGCATCATTTGTGCTTGCTGCTGTTGTAGAGGAGAAATTGATTGCTGCGGCAATGAGGTTTGCTGCTGATGGATACCAGAGGTTTGTTGTGATTGCGGATGCTGCCTTAGGAGCGACGATTGATGCTGACGAAGCATAGATTGTGTCGCAGTCTGCTGAGCAGACAATTGCGGACTTGATTGCTGATTTGTGTGGAGACCCTGGAGAGGAGCTGAGCTCACAGTGGAGGGCTGCGTGGCAGATGTTGGAATACCAGGCTGTTGAGACGAATGCATTTGATTAGGCTGCAGTACATTTTGTTGCTGTTGTTGCATGTGTGATGGCAAAAGCGAATTGGGATTGGGAACATTCCCTGACTGAAAATTCTGCTTGAGAAGTTGCTGCTGTAGCTGCTGCTGATAAAGATATTGTGCACTCTGTGGCTGCTGTTGCTGCTGTGAGGACATAGCATGTGGCCTGCCCAGCATCTGTCTTTGGGATCCTGAAAACATGCTCGATGAAAGGCCATGCTGCCCAGATGAATCTTGCAACATTCCAGCTACATTTTGCATATTGGAATTCTGGTTTACAACGCTTGTGACGTTATTATTGGTTATGGAGGAAACCGGCGGCATGGAAGATGGTAAAGCAGTAGAACCCGTTATTCCTGAGCCTGTATTGCTCTGCATGGTTTGGGAGAGCAACGTCTGAGGTGCTTGAGATTGATTGGTTGGAAGAAGGTGCCCTTGATTGGTGGGTACTATTCATGGAAAAGGTTAAACAGGACTAAATTAGAGGTACAATAATCCTTAAAACCAGATAGACAGACTTAAAGCAATACATGCTTGAGAAGCGTGATTACTTGAATCCATGGATGTGGCATTATTAGCGGGAGGGATTGATGAGGAAGAACCAGCTGCATTTTGCGATTTAGTCTCCATAGTCAGCATCTTCATAGATATTTTCCGAAGGTAATCAGTCTGAAAGTCGAATTAAAAGAAAATCAGGAAGGTACACAAGGATTTCATTCCCCATATGTTGTAGAGTCCATTGCCTCACAAATCTTTATACTATTTACCACGCTCACGAAATCATAAACAGATGTTCATAGGACGGTTAATTACCTGGTTAACAGCACCACTATAAATTTTCTCCTCGAATCTAGCAGCAATTCTCCTGAGCTCGTTAATTCCCTCTGGTCCAGAAAATGGAAGGTGCTTCTTTAGTGTTTCCATTCTGCGCAAGTTGCAAGTAAACAAGTGAAAAAACAGAATTATAGATCAATAAACTATAGCACCATATCAGCCTTCTGTTTCTGCAGGAGTTAACTGGCATTAGACAAAACGCTACTAGAGTGGGAAAGATACAAACTTTGCATAGACATAACACCAGGTAATATTAAACTTACATCTTGTTGACGATCTTCTGGCGAGAATCAGGTGGCAGTTGACTTCTCCAGTCACCTGTGTCCATTGCAGGTTCTCCGTTTGGAAGAGAAGGCCTCCAATTGTTATTATCCATCAAGTGTCCTATGTTTACAAGCCAGGAAGAAGAGAGTATCAATAGTAAGTAGACTTATAACTCAACTAAAACAGCGAAACCAGAACATGACGCGTATATCCCAAATTTACAGGAAACAAAGGACCACGCAACATGGATTAGACATGACACTCGTAGTTTCTATAATTTCACTACCCAACATGGATCAGAAAGGTGTCATGCATTCTCAAACCACTTTCCTTTTCCATTTGTACGCAAATTCACACCAGACAGGTTAACCTAACCACTCAGGAAACTAGAATTTTTTTTCCATCAGAAGCTAAAAATGGAATTACCGACCCTATAGAGGTCAAAATCAGTTATCTTAACTGATGAGCCAAAATTTCATTTTGAACAGCAACCACCTCTTTTACTTTCTGTTCGTAGCCCAAAGCCATAGACTCAACCTCAAGTAGCCTATCCCAAAAACGAGAATCCAGGAAAAAAAAGAAACATACTTTATTACACCATCGAAGCTCATCAATTGTCCTAATTGTAAGAACCGAGACCCACGATTCAAAGGGCGATTGTATATCTACTATGGAATCCCGATCACAAAAGAAAACTCTAAAAGCTAGGCTTAAGAACAACCAAAACAGAACAAACAAAACGGGAATCGAAAAAAAAATCTCACCTGAAATAGAAAGCCTGTGGAGCAGATTTCGAATTTGGGGGTCAAGGTTGCTACAACGATTAGGGTTTGATCTGAGGACAACAGCGAATGAAAGGGGAAATTGGAGCAAGATTAGAGTTTAGCTTGATCGAGAAAATGAATGAACAGTAGAGGATCAAATAGGCAAACGACGAGGAAAGCTTCTTCGTCTTAATCTGCCAAATGTGTCTTCGCAGTTCGCTTATAACAACGATTTCTTGTCTTTTTTTTTTTTTTAATGTCGTCGCGCAGCTACAATCCATTAAATTACAAAAAGCCCCTCCAAGTAAAAGCAAATACAAGATAAAACCTCAAATTAAATCCAAACCCAAACAAGACAAGTCTTTACATAAAAGCAATGCATGGAGGTAGCGTCGTAAAACATTCATTGATTTCATCGTTACAAGCTACAAAACAGTCAAGGTTGTCCATGTCATATACAAACGCAATTAACATTTTTTTATTCATGCCTTCACCTTTAGAGGTTTCAAGGTTTGTTCTTTAGATACATAACATAGATATATCCTGAACTTTTCAAACGCAAATGACCGATTACAACGCAATTTGCTTAGTCGCCCTCTTCCATCGTCTGCATCTATAAGGATATCTTGCGCAAGTAATCCTCCTAAAACTCGCAATAAACAGAATATTAACAGCACCAAAAAAAATGGGGATGATATCAAGTAAGTAAGTGCACATGTTAGCTTAATCAAAAGTGAAACCTGATTTATAGCGGTGTTGAAAATCAAGTCCTCGAAGCTGACAGCAATTCTCATGAGCTCGTCGATTCCTTCTTGCCCAGAATATGGAACATGTTTCTTTAGTGTTTCCATTCTGTTTAAATGACAAGTAACTTGGTGTTATCTTATATAACACAATGACTAGCCACTGAGAAAATACGACAGCTTTGGAGATGCAAACAATGTATCCAACTTACAGCTTGTTGACATTCCTCTGGCGTGAATCCGGTGGCAGATGAGTTCTCCAATCACTTATGTTCATGGCAGGTTCTTCCTTCGGGAGACAAGGCTCTGAATTGCCATTGTCTATAACAAGATGGCCTATGTTCACAAAGGATCAAGATAGATTTATGACACCATAAGAAAACAAAACCAAATGGAATATACAATTGATGTGTCTACACTGTCTAGGTGCATATATATGAAGCTTACTTACACCAAGAGAATGCATTGAATTCACACAAGCTTCAGCTACTACATGAATGACTTTAGAAAAATAAATCAGTGGCAAAAAAAGAAATTCGTTATTTACGCAGATCCAAGGGTAGGCTGTCATCAGCAGCAGGGATAGATGAAACGGAACCAGCTGCATTTTGAGATTTAGCCTCCATAGACAGCATCTTCATAGATATTTTCCGAAGGTAATCATTCTGAAAGTCGAAATAAAAGAAAGATCAGGACATGGATTTACTTACCGGTACCCAAAAGTCAGGTTTTTTTCTCCCATGTTTTATAGTCCATTGCCTCACAAAATAGTTAAATAAAACACACACAAAAAGAGACAAATATAGATGTTCAGAGAGCGGTTAATTACCTTGTCAACAGCACCGCTGTAAATTTTCTCCTCGAACCTGATAGAAATTCTCCTGAGCTCGTTATCTCCCTCTGGTTTAGAAAATGGAATGTGCTTCTTTAGTGTTTCCCATCTGCGCAAGTGGCAAGTAAATCAAGTATGAACAACAACAAAAAAAACTAGATTGAAAGAAACTACATGATATATATAACACTAGACTTGATTATGGGGAGAAATGGTACACCAGAGTGAAGAAAGATGAAAACTTTGCAGAGATATGATTAAAAAAAAAAAACTTACATCTTGTTAATGATTTTCTGGCGTGCATCAGGTGGCAATTGAGTTCTCCAGTCATTTGTGTTAGTTTCCATGGTGGGTTCTCCGCTTGGCCCCATTAGGATCAACTATAGTAGACTTCACTATAGCAGATCAATTCTGTTCAAACAGATAAAAGTGTGACTAATATTATCTAGGGCATGCGATGAGAAAGGATCAAGAAAGGATCAAGAAAGGATCAAGAAAGGATAAGAAGCAAATATTTTTGATATCCGATAGAAAGAAAGTTATGAACTTTGAAGCACGAGAAAACAAACTATTAAACTGGAAAAATCAGAGTGATTAGCACAAGTGTTGTTTCGTTCACTGATCTGCCAAAATCACTTTATCTATCATCCATCGACAGAAACTTGCGACAATACTTCTCTCGCACCCAAACCACAAGAAACATAAATAAAACCCTAAATCAAAGACAAAAATAATGAAATTCGGAAAACAAATCACCTCAAAAACGGAGCTCTTTTGGGGTCCAACGTTGCGATGAGCAGAGAAATAAAGAGCTGATGATGATTATAAATGGAAATGTAAATAGAAAAAGAAAGAAAGAAATCAAGCTTTGTAAACTATATAAAGAGGTGATACGGCCCACTAAGCCCAAACATATACGGGCCGAAATAGTAAGTACCTAACATTAACATAACAGCTAAAGTGTGAATGCAGTTACTTTGGGAGCAAGGCATAATGTAATTTCCTCCGCAAGAAACATTTCATTGTCACAAATTACACAATGGTCAAGTTGGCCCATGTCTTATTTCATAAACACGCTTTAAAACAATTACCAGAAGATGGACTCCCCCAACAAAAGCAGAAAAAAAAAAGTTCTCTTTTTTTAATTTGTTATATGATTCCACACCAATTAAATAGACATTTTTTCCTTGTTGAGGATTCATTATAAAGAAGTGATAAAGATGTGTTTGGTAAATCAATCACTGTATTCATTCCTTGAACTGGTTGTTCTTTTTTTTTTCAAATCATGGAATTGGCATGAAAGCTTCAAACGAAAATGACCGCTTCGAACGCAAATGACTCAGTGGCCGTCTTCAATAGTCTGCATCTTAAAGGATATTTTGCGAAAGTAATCCACCTGAAAATCGAAAATAAACAGAATGTCAAACAAGAAAGGGGCGATATCAAAGCCCACTTTCCGTATTGGCTTATAAATCAATCTATTTACTCAAAACCAAAGAACCAGACGTTTTGGTATCCAAAAACTGTGAATTTTGCATTTCCTAAAGCTTTTTACTAGAAAGAATAACTCTGCGTTTTGACTTGAACCACTATAAGGAAGAGCTGCTTTTTGCTGCATAAAATTTCATTACACTAATTCATCCTTCCACTCTGCTAACAATTTGGAGGAGAAACAAATAATAAAATGATGAAACCTGATCAATAGAAGTGTTGAAAATTAACTCCTGAAAGCTGGCAGCAATTCTCTCGAGCTTTTTAATTTCTTTACGCCCACAATTTGGAACAAAATGTTTCTTTAGTGTTTCTATTCTGCTCAAATGACAAATACTTTAGCTGTACATAAGATATGTTTATAGATCACGTACTTTAAGATGGCAGAACGTTGTTGTAACATTGCTTTTCTACAGAGCCTTATAGCATTAAACGGTCTCTCAAAGTGAGAAAAGATGACAAGTTTTTGGAGAGACACGCAACACAAAACGCTTCCGCTTATGGCAAACCTGATCCCAAAGACCGAAATCTCGTCGATAGGCTCCGGATTTGAAAATGGACGTTTTTTCACATTACAAGATGAACCACTAATAATGTGATAAATTATCCATTTTCTCGTATCATTTTAGGAGTCATAATAATTTAACGTCCCATAAAACATCCTTGTATATACATATCATCTTCTTTTGTGAACTAACTCATTAGTATTAGAAATTGAGCACATTACAGAAGATGGAAAGTCAATGTAAATAAAAAAGCCCTAAAAACAAACAAAATAAAAAAAAGAAATGTACCTATGTAGTAGAAAATAGATAAGTAATTGTTAATTACATCTCAACTTATGAATTAAACATAAGAAGAAAGTGGAAAAAGAGAGAGAGAGAACCTAAAGGAGGGCAAGAGCAAAAACTTGCTACAACCTATAAGAGAGAAAAGAAAACACCAAAAAACTCAAAAACATTTTAACTCGTCTCCCCTGTAATCCTTCTGCAAAGACACTGGAAGCGGATGATGATCTTTTTATCTATCATATATAGTTACAGTTATGCATACTCTAGAACGTGTGGCTGACAAAAGAATAATGATGTTTGATGGTTGTGTGGTAGTTATATATGTATCATCATCATCATCAGCTGGTTCCATATAGAATTTCAGGGCTCGGGTTGCTATCAAGAGGTATGTTAAGATCAGGGAGCAAGAAGGAACCATTATTCCTTTGTGATTCAGCCTGCACAGAGATAATTATTTGTTAAAGCTATATATTACTGAAAAGAGTGATCATGTATTTGTAGACACGGGGGAGCAAAATAAGAAAGGTTTTAACCTGCATTTTCTTTAAAGACTCGTTTCTTGCTCTTTGTTGCTTGAGCAGATCCCGCATACTTGCGAGTTCCTGATATACGCAACAAGTAACATATTAAAGATATGGACACTGGAATCGATATTAGAAGAAGATGCATGGGGAAAGAGATTTATACATTTTTCAGGCCTTTCCTTTCCTTTAAGAGCAAACTCTCCTCATCTTTAAGTTCAGCAAGCGTCTGTGGACAGCCACACACAGGGGATAAACTAAGACATAATATCATAAAACCTGAAATTTAAAGTAATATTTTTTTGCTTGATTTTTATTACCTTTTTCTTTCTTGATCTCTTGAAGGGGGTTGTTGCTGTTACACTAGTTTGAGTTACCTGCATTAAACCCACCGAAAAAATCAGAATGTGAGCTTCTCGTAACATTTATAACATGATCAAATCAAGTCGACCTCAAATTAAACCATTTCACAATGACACTCAGAGAATTAACGAGCCGTGTCATTTTTTAAAAGTACATAATGAGCCCCTGTACCAATTTCGTATGGACCATAATCTTGATTCCGATTCCATAATAGTATTTGGAAAATCTACAGGGGATCCTAAGCATGAAAACGTACAAGATGATATATCACTTAATAATTTTTTTTTTAAAAAGGAATCTTCTTTCTTGGTCAACTACTTAGTTCCAAAAAAAAAAAAGAGCTATATGAACACAAGTGCCTCTTTTTCTCCTACATCGAGACACACCCAATTGGAAAGAAAGAATAGAATCACGTGACTGGAGCGTGACTTTGAAGACTTGTATTGTAACGCGTGTCTCCCCATGGCCACGACCCCACACACCTCTCCTTACCACATTATCACGAATTATCCACAATGACCCCCACTTGTCCTTATCATTTTCTTTTCTTTTTAATTACTAACCCGGAGGACTTTTGTGGGTTATCTACTTTGGTATATGATAATTGAAGCTTAAACCATAAGGAAAACAGACAAAAAAAAAAAAAAAAAAACCATAAGGAAAAAAAGCTAAATATAACAGGGCTGTCACCAATATTAATCTCACAGGCGAGGAAAGTAGGAGTGAGAATGATTTTGACCAACCAAAGGTGCTTTGGATTGCAGTCAAACTGTCTTGTGTGGAAGTTTTTTGACTTTTTTTTTATAAATAAAAATTCCATGTCAGCCATGAGAGTTACTGTGCGCTACGCTGCATCTGATTACACCACAGACGCACCAAACCCACAGCCCAAACCTAATACGCCACGAAAACGCCTCTCGACCCATAAAAGAGGCAACCCTCATAATAAGCAGAAATTATAAATAACGCCAGCCATAACTTCTCTAATTGACAGAATTACCCCTGAACACAGTCTATGACACAGGGGTAACCTAGTCATTGAAATGGTGATGACTGGATTCAGCGGACCAGTTTCAGGAACCAAGCATCGTGACGTCAACTTTTGATGACCAAAAACAGCAACTCCTCGATGTGAGGATCTTTTTGGTCGTCCCATAAAAGCAGCAAAACTGACACTGAATTGAAGAAGCTAAAAGGAAAGAAACAGACAAAGATAGATTTTGAGTTTCTGACAAGAAGAAGAACGTGTGTTTCGACGGGTTATATATCGGTCAACGCCAAGTCGGGAGTATAGATCGAAGAAGACGGCCAAGGTGTTGTGACCGGCGAAGAGACCGATCTCGAAATGACCAAAATGACCCTAAGAGAAAGAGATAGAAGAGGGCCAAAAGAAATGGTAGTAGTTGCGAAAATAAGGGGAAGACCGAGATTTACGTGAAGTGCAAATCGCCTACCGGCGTTTTTCCGAGGGTATATTCGTCAAACACACACAAACAGAGTAACGCAGAGCTTTAAAAAAAAAAAAACTCGAGAAAAGAAACCAAAAGGGATAAATATGAAAAGAACCTTAGATCTAACGGCCTCCGACGATTTAACGGCGCAGCTAGACTCCTCAGTTCCATCAACGGCGGGAGCAGCGGCGCCACCGCATCCACCACCGCTAAGAGAGGTGGCACCGCTCCAGGAAAGAGGCGTGGTGGGACTGGCACGCGTATGATCTCCTCCTTTCTTCCTAGTCAGCGCCGCCTTGCTCCTCCGCTGTCTGACGGTCCACTTCAGCTCGAGATCCGACGCGCCGCTCTTCTCATGAGGTGGCGAGTCGGAATGGTGGAGACAGATCAGAGCCTCCGCCACCAATGAATCGTCGCACATAGCTTCCCGAATCCAGTCTCCGCCGGTCATTAGCCTTTAGGTTGGAGACCTTCCACCGATTTTTTAGAGAGAGAGAGATGGTGGCGAAAAGTGGAGAAGAAGAAAAATCTCCATGGCACATTAATGGGGTGGATTTTATATAAATACACATTGGGAACGTTTTCACATACACAGTTAGATTGGAAATTATTTGTAAATTTTGTCTTTATTTTCTTTCTTGGTGAAAGTGGGTCCCATGGGAATACATACGTGGCATCATGGAGTATCTGTGCTTTGTTCACAGGCCCAAAAGGGTATTATTATTTATTAGTAGTACTACGGTGGCGCATGCACTACACGCGCGTTGAGTGAGAGTGCTTTTTTTGTTGGGCTTGCGTGACGGTTCGGTTACTTCCACTAATATGCAGTTTCGGGATAATTTTGTGGAATCGTGAGGTCCTTGTTATTGGAAACACTTTCATACTTTGTGAGGAAATTTCGTTAATTTAGATGCTAATGTCATGGTAGCAAAAGGTAACTACATAACATAGTACGTATGCACTGAACTCTTTGCTTTTCTTCTTTTCTTTTTCATTTCCGCAGAAGATTTTAAGTAACTCATGTATAATGTATATATTGATAGATGTCTATTCATTTTTACTCGTACAGTATCTAAAATTGACAAAGGTCGTTTTCAAACAATTGATGATTACAGTTCCTATGAAATGGTCGGTGAATTAAGAAGTACTCCATTGACTTTTAAGGAAAGAGCTTAGTTATGACCTCATGAGTCGAAGTATAAATGCAGTTAATCTGTATATAAGATGATTTGCTTTTTTTTTACCATTCACAAATTGTATGCAGAACAAAAATATTAATATAAAATTAATTGATCTGCATGTAGATTTTTAATAGTCTAAAAATTAAAGAAAAATATTGTTTCCAGAACTGCTGTAAAATAGCAGCTGTTCACCCGCATGCAGATCTTATTTATTTTTTAATTGATATTTTTTTGAACTGCTTATAATAATCTGCATTATATGATCTATACACCATTCAAAGCCTAAAGAGTAAAGACCAATGGGCCATTTTCACATGTTAATTGGCCTTCTCGGACACAATCAAACTTGTAGACGTGTTTCAGAATTATATCCGGTTTATCGGAGTTTTGCCTGAACAATAATCTTACGCACAATTTAACCGGCAAAAGTCAACAATTCAATTCAATTAAACCGCATTTTACTGTAATCTGTTATCGTCATCATGTACACACACACTCACACCCTAAAGCCCTAAATCCTTCGGAGCTGCCAAAATCATGGCGCTTCTTGTCGCCAGACGCCGACAAAGGTTCATTTCAAACCCAACTCTGATTCGCTTTTTCTCTAATTCCGCATCGGACCCACCTCCCAAAGCATCCGTTGAAAATCCATCCCAGTCACCCTCTTCTCCGTCTCCGTCTCCGTCTCCGTCGGACTTCTCGTACTCTTCTCCCTTCACCGACATCAAGACCACTCTGAAGCAGAAATTACAGCAACAGCAGGAACAAGGAAGAAAACCATTCGTCAGATCCGATGCCCAAACTCAGAATCCTGGATCGACTAGATTCTCCGATAACCATTCACGCGGGGATTTGGGAATCAACCTCGCCAAGTTTCAGCGGAGACCCACCGTCCCACCTTCGAGGGATTCAGGAGGCGTACGGCCATCACAGTCTCGGCCGCAGATTTCATTCGAGGAACTCTATAAGCAGAAGGTCGTACCAAACTCAGCGGATCCCAGGAATCGGAAAGGCCAGGATTTCAATACGAGTAAATTATCGGAAAAATTAAGTTTTTTGAAGTCGCAGTCCAACATGGAGTCGATGACAGGAGTGTCTTTGCGAAGTTTCAAGGGCACTTTGAAGTCGATATCCAATGAAAACGTTCGTTCGAATCTGTTCGGAGGAGGAGAAGCTTTGCCAATGTCCGTGTTCGGGAAAGAAATGGGTGAGAGGAAAGGCAGGGAAGGTGAAACAGAGGAGATGATGACGGAGTTCCTTAAGATTTATGGAGAAGATGAATTGGGTGAGAAGCTAAGGATGCTTAGGCCTGAGGGAAATAAAGAACAAGGATGGTTCTCATTGCAGGAGTTAAATCAGAGGTTGGTTAAGCTAAGGCAAGTGGAAGAGAAAGATGTCCAAAATCAGCGTGTGAACATTTCCGTACTCAAAAATGTTATGGAAACTTTTCAGAATGACGCAGCCCAAAAGGAAGCCATTTTCCGTACGTTCTGATGACTCCCTCTGTGCCTAATATCGAATGTTTCTGTAGAATCTCAAATACCCAGTTTTCCTTAGATGATCGTTGGCGCAAGTATTTTTCCTTTTTGCTTCACTCTTTCCCATTTTCTTGTCTGCGAGCTACGGTTATAGCTTTATATGTCAACTATATCCGATTCTAAATTGTCCACTTTTTTCTTAAGACTCGAGGTGTTTAGATCTTGGTTTGATTTTGGTTGTCTGTAGTTATGTTTGCTGTTGAAGTGACATTTATATTATCTAAGGAGGTTTCGTTGCTTGCAGAGCAGAACTCCGACATTAGAGGCCTTTTGGGTGGTACCCCTGAATACAAGCATTATCCTCCAAAAGAGGATCTAGTTGAAGCTGTAAGTTTTTCGCTCTTAGAATTTAGACCTCGAATTCTTGGAGCTTGTTAGTCTAATTTGTCAGAAACGAAAAGGCTTCTTTGGTTCTTTTGGTGGTCTTTCGTCTATGATACTTACAAAATTCTCTATCGTGGGTATTGATCTGTTTTTATGTTACTGCAACAACAAAGTACTTCCACACAGATAATCTGTCCTCTACGGATAAGATGAAAATTGAGCTCACGAAAGTCAGGGAAGAGTATAAGATGTCGGAGTCAGATTGTGGTTCTGCACGCGTGCAAGGTAAATTCTACATAAGGCCAATGAAACTGAATTCAATGTGGGCTTTAGCTATAAAAAGCATCACATTTCCTGAGACAGATTTTGGTTAGATTGTCTTGTGATGTCTCTGTTTCTCTCCTTGCAGTGGCGCAGCTCACTACTAAAATCAAGCATCTGTCCTCTGCTCTGCACAAGAAGGTAAAACTCCCAAGTTGTTTTCGATGATATTCGTCTGTACGCATAATGTTATACCTGGTGGCTGTATAACCGTAGGACAAGCATTCGCGGAAGGGACTTATAGCAATGGTGCAGAAACGGAAGAAGCTGTTGAAATATCTTAGACGAACTGACTGGGATTCTTACTGCCTTGTTCTGTCAAAACTCAGGCTTCGTGACAACCCAGATCACAAGTTATAAGCTTTATATGCGCTAGAGACTCCATGGCTCTATTACCACACTCTTTTGGTTCGGGCAACGCGCTGTTGTGAGTGAGACTTAGCTGTTCAAACCCTGTTAGGCATTATACTCTCTAGGGAAGAAAGTTGCTCTACGCTATTTTGTTCTTACTCCACATTGTTTCGCTTTGAGCTCTTCAATCAAATCATGCATTTGCTGCTACGAAATGAAGTAGTGGATCTCTTTTTATTAATGTTTAATAATATTCCCTTTCACATTTGAGTTGTGATAATAAAGTCATTTACGAATAAGCCTTTTCATGATTTCCATTTTACATATTTCGCAAGCTAAAAGTCACGACTTTGGTGCCATATTAAAGCAATGATATGATGATCATTTCCGAAAATGTCACATTTTGAAGAGTTTTTGGGGGAGGAGAAATATATCTACAGACTCAAAAAAACATCGTTTCTCACAAACCAAGTGCGCCGAGAGGCGTTTTCCCCTGCCCGGCCTCGAAGTAAAAGATCAACATGGCAACCATTGCGAGCCTCGAGTGCTTAATCTCCGCCAGTTTCAGCCGCTCCAGCTTCTCTCTGTCCGGCTCGTAAACACCATCGCGTGTCTTCCCGGCGAGACCCAACGGATCGAAGAATCTTCCACCGGGATATCCTTGATCGCCAGTATAGTTGGCGAAATTCTCGGCTGTCCTCGACCACGGCGTGGCCCACTCAACAGATTGAGAATCCGGGTTGAAGAAATCGACCCACCGCTTGCTCTCTACCCAACCCATGAGAAGCAACTGGGTCCCGAGAAGCGACCCGAACGAGAAGGGAGCGATCGCTCGTGGATCAGCCCCGGCTTCGAACCACGGCACGCCGCTCCAGGCCTGGCCGACGAAGATCCCAAGAACTGCTGCCATCGCCCATCGGCCGTGGATTAGCTCTGCCTCTCTGTACCATTTCAGAAAAGCCGGGTCTTTTCCCAAACCCAACGGGTCGAACCCGAAATCTCCAGGCAGCCTATGCAAAAACCATTCACAAATCAGAGTTATGAACTAAAATGAGTGTTCACGACTTTCGGAATTATCGTAATCTATCTATAGTTCATATGAGACCCCATTTGAATGAAAGTCATTTCCTTTCGACGATTTCTTACTTTCTGAGATTCAATTTACAAAATTGAGTTAAAAAACAGAATGAACATTCACGGAATACAGAATCGCCATTGTTCATTGTTCATGCTAGTAACTTGAGAGATTTGAGTGGATAGACTTACGAGCCATCGAGCCATTCAGGGTCGAGTAAGTTGCCGCCACCTTTAACGGCGGGAATCCACGATTTCTTTGGCTGAGCAGCTGCAGCAGCGACGATCAGTGTTTTCCGGCCAGCTCTCGCAGCTCCAGCGCCTACGCCGCTTCCCAATGCGGCGGCACTCCTCTTGCCTCCGGCGAGGAACGAAGAACCAAGCCCACTGAGCACTGCTCCGGAGACCGCCATCGCCATGAGATCTTTAATATGTCTCCTCTGTTTTTTTTTCTTTCTCTCAAGTTGTGGGAATGAGTGTTTTGTCCTCTCTGTTTTCGGAGCAAAAAGAATCAAAGGGAGGAGATTTAGAGGGACAATGTGGAGATGATGAGAATCTATAGACGAAATCTCAGAGGCTGCCTTGGATAGATTTCTGACCAATTAGAAATCAGAAAATAACTTCACCATATCCACATCACCCACACTTGTCTTCACTTGCCAACTCAGTAATTACATTATTATTTTTTTTTTTTCTATAATCTAATGTATGAGAGAAAAAAAGGAAATGACACGTGGATACTCTCCATTAGACGCAATTAGGAACTTAATCTGATTATAAAACGTTTATTGAAATGCAATCACAGCCATAAATTTGTACAAATGTGGCATTGCTGCAATGCTGCTTATTACGTTTAGCTTACGTTACTTTTTTTGTGATTTAATAAACAAGTGAGATTTGAAAATTTAGAAAATTAACGATTAAATGGAGGTGAATTCCAGGAGGGTGGAGGAAGCTGAACCAACGGCTGATTAGAACCCATGTCCGGGTTTGGTGTAACCGGGAATGGATTTTCCGGTATTGTTGGTATAGACTCGATTGGTGGTGCAAATGACGTCACCGGCGGTAGCCAAGGATTCGTAACCTCTGGCGGCGTGGTAAAGACAGGAGTTTGCGGTGGGAAATCTCCGACGACTGGTGGTGTAGAGAATATTGGAACTATTGGTGGATCTTGTACGATCGGTGGTGTTGAGAAAATCGGTGGGAAGTCTTGAACCGGCGGAGGCAATATCGGCGGGAATTCTTGGACCGGTGGGGGTAGAATCGGCGGGAACTCTTGAACCGGTGGAGGTAAAATCGGCGGGAACTCTTGAACTGGTGGAGGCAAAATCGGCGGGAACTCTTGAACCGGTGGAGGTAAAATCGAAGGGAGATCCTGAACCGGTGGAGGTAAAATGGGAGGGATGTCTTGAACCGGTGGAGGTAGAATTGGCGGGAAATCTTGAACCGGTGGAGGCAAAATCACGGGAAGGACTGGTGGCGAAGGTGCTGACTGGTCAATTGGTGGCTCGATGGTTACATCAGGTGGTGGAAACTCCGGCGTAGATTGGTCAGGCGGAGATGGGATCAATGGTTGTCCGATGACAATGTCCGGTGGCAAATTGTCTGTCGGTGGAGGGAGTAATGAAGGGCTAACCGGCGCGGGTGGTGGAGTTCCGGTATTAATAGCCGGCGGGAATTGTGCAGCTGGTGGCGTTAATGTAGAACGGTCTAATGGCGGAGGAAGAAGGAAAACTGGAGATGGCGGTGGTGATCCGGTGGTTATATCAGGCGGCGAAAACCATGTGATTGGTGGCATGGGCGGGATGTCGGCGACCAACGGCGGAGGAGGTGTACCAGTAGTTCCTGGGGCTCCGGAGCCTAAAAGAGGAGGCGGAGGAGGTGATTCAGTGGTTCCCGGAGCGCCGCCGCCTAAAAGAGGAGGAGGAGGTGAACCAATGATACCCGGAGCTCCGCCGCCTAAAAGAGGAGGAGGAGGAGGTGAACCGATGATTCCTGGAGCTCCACCGCCTAAAAGAGGAGGAGGAGGTGAAGCGATTATTCCCGGCGCTCCACCGCCTAGAAGAGGAGGAGGTGAACCGATTATTCCCGGAGCTCCGCCGCCGAAAAGAGGAGGAGGAGGTGAACCGGCAATTCCCGGAGCTCCACCGCCTAAAAGAGGAGGTGGTGTGAACGTGAACGGCGGCTGTGAAACCGAAGCGCCAGGTTGAGGCGGTGGCGGAGATAACACTAAAGGGAGGGAAGGTGGTGGAAGAGAGGAAGATAATGGTGGGGGAAGAGGCGCAGACGGCGGAGGAAGTGGTAGCACCGGAGTAGGCGTTGGTAGGATTGGAACCGGAGAAGGCGTTACTGATGGTGATGGTGGTGGCAGATTTGGAAATAAAGGTGGTAATGGAGGGAGTAGAATCGGTGTAGGGACAAATGGAATAACCGGCGGTAATGGTGGTGGTGTAGCCGGTGCCGTGGTACAAGTAATGCAAGGCTCAGGAGGAGGCGGTCCG